CGGGGGCTGCTCGGGGCTGCGCGCCCGCGGAGGCTCCGGGTGCGCGCACGGAGCATCCCCGGGAGCAGCCGGGGGTCTGCGGGAGCCTGCGACAGCCCTGGAGCCTGCGACAGCCCTGGAGCCTGCGACAGCCCGGGAGCCTGCGACAGCCCTGGAGCCTGCGACAGCCCGAGCGTGCCCTTCCCGCACAGGACACGGAGCAGAGGGGACACGGCTCCGGCCAGGGTGGCAGCGGGACACGGAGCAGAGGGGACACGCTGAGGACAGAGCCGGGGCTGGCAGGGCCGTGGCGCACAGAACGGGCCGGGGCTGGAGCATCTCCCTGCTCCGGGGCAGCACCGGCGGCCGGGCAGGCGTGGGACTAACCCCCGGTGCCTTTCCTCCCGCAGGTAAAAGTATGGTTTCAGAACAGACGGACAAAGTTCAAGCGGCAAAAGTTGGAAGAGGAAGGCTCGGACTCACAACAGAAGAAAAAAGGGACTCATCACATTAACCGGTGGAGAATCGCCACCAAACAAGCCAGTCCAGAGGAAATCGACGTCACGTCGGACGATTAAAAACTGGCACTTTTGGACTTTTTAAAGCCAGCGCCCCACCAAGAGAAAGTTTTAAAGGCTCACCCGCCACCCCCGCGGTGCGGGGAAGGACACGGAGATCTCCATTCCTGCCTGGGAGGGAGCTGGGAGCGAGCGAGGGCTCCGAACTGTGCCACTGCCGGCACCGCTCTGGCAAAGGGGATCTGTCAATCCAAGCCAAAACACCGGGACGAGGTGATTGACAGGTATTCCGTTTATCGCAGTCCACTTTTAAAAACGTACTTTAAAAAAAAAAATAATTAAAAATATATAGAAAAAAAAAATCATAAAAAGGAAAAAAAAAAAAAAAAATGGAAGCAAAAAAAGCCCCCAACCAAACCAGAAAATTAACACCTTACGGGACATTTTGCACTTCACGGTTTTTTCCGTCTTTGAAAGAGAAATTTCCATAAGCAGCCAAAACCCACACCTGTTTCAGAAACTTGAATTGCATGTGTAAAGCCGTCTGGGGAAAAAAAAAAAAAGAAAAAAAAAAACTTAAAAAAAAGGAAAAAAATTACTCCGGTTCCTAAAGACAGAAATGAATTGTAATTTTTTTCCCCTTTAAGACAGGTTCTGTGTGCTTTTTAATTTTATTTTACAAGAAATGTGCAGTCTGTAAACATTTTATGATAACTTCTGGCGTCAAAGTGTTTGTGAAAGCTAAATGAAGTAGCAGTAACAAAGCATAGTGTTCCTTCCGGATGGACAAACACGGTGGGGAGGGGAGGGACGGGAGGGAAAGGCGGG